GTATCGAAAAAAAACCTGATAGTCCTGTGGATTTGCTGACAATGAGAGAGAAACAGTGCCATTTTATTTATTTACTATTTTTATTTTAATTTATTTATTATTAGCAGCTTTCAGTACTATACTATACCCTGCATCTCACAAACTTGTCCTTTGTTTCTGTGATACTGTACTTCTTGTTCTTTGTTGATATGAACCTGCAATCAGTCATGCATTCAGTGCTCTCTGAACAGGCTGTTATGGTTGTGTCACATGACTTGAAATAAGTGAAATAAATTTTGAGTGGTTGTGTTCTCTACTTGTATTGATTGTTGCCACTTGTGTTTACCAGTATGGATTACAGTGCAGAATATGTTTTGATAATGAGAATGTGTTTAGAGTTCTGCTGTAAAGTCTAAGTCAGATCTGCAAATTGTTTTATTAATTGTGAAATGGTTTAAGGTATTGACAACAGACTGCACAATTAGCTAAATGAGTTCAGGCAACTGCAAACTTTGTTCAGCCAATGGATTTTAGTGTTTTAGCAATAGAGAAAAACTGTAAGGCATGCTGGTCAGAAATTGTGTCCGACTTCCACCAGAGCAAAACGTCACTGCATTACAATCTTGAGGGAGCATGGTGGCTTCATTCGCCATGTTGAGACCAAGGGGGTAAGCCAGAGATCGATCAGTGAAGCCAACCAAAGCCTGCATGGAGGGTTCCATGTAAGCCCGAAACTGACATCAAAGCGCTGCGACAACCCGTCGCACATGAGTGATTTAACCGTATTAGTTATAGATTAGATTATAAATTCCAGGCAAATCAAAAAAAAATATTCAACCATCAGTTTGTATTTGGCAGGATTATCAGAGCCTGGTATTTGTTAGCACCAAAGATTAGCACCAATATTGACTTTTATGCACTTTTATTTTTTGTGCTGTGTTGGATAAAACACAAGAAATCCCACTGGTTATAGCAGACAATGCTGTCTGTGACCAAAAAACTCCTATAAAATACTATATATTATTATTTTCCACTTTCACTTCCATAAATTTTTTAATCAACATCAGCCCTGATCACAACTACCAAATTTCATTCATTGTTTTGCTCATTTTAAAATTAACAGCTTTAAAAGCAAGAGAGCAGAAGCCAGAAATTAAAAACTGCTAAATTTGGCAATTTTGCCTTCTCCACACTTTCTTTCTACAACTTTCTTTTATTTCTAAAACTAACAATTTATCCATTAACATTCTATAAGCTATAAAAACAAAAGCCCCTCTAGTGCATTATACAGTCATCATATATTATGATATAATAATAATAATAAACCTGGCCCAAATACATGCCATAAGCACTAACAAAGCCAAAATTATCCCCAAAACAAAACAGACAAAGACAAAATGTCCATACTGAGGCCTAAGTTAAACTTCAGGTGTTATAATCTTTCTGATGGATTGCGTTAAAAGACATTGATGTTCCTCACTGGAGGATCTTTGGTGATCCCCTGACTTTTTCTATACAACCATTTCAAATTCTTAGTAAAATAAGATATGGTAATATTTAAGATATTACTGTTATCGATTCAAATCCTGAATGACGTAAAGAATTATATATTTTTGTTTTAATAATATCTGGATCAACAACAACTCCTCTGGGGTGCATTTCCCATGGAACCACGGAAGGTGATCAATATTAAAAGGCGTTATTATGTTAACTTATTTAAGCTTTTTGTGTTATAGTCATATACCAGCAAGAACAAGAAAACATTAACATTATATAACATTATTATGGGCTAACTAAACATTAATTCTGTGAATTCTACTCCAGCATAGTATGTCAAAAATAGATTTCAAGAGTAGTAATGCTGCTTTCACTATTATTTTATCACTTTAAAATATTAACTATTATCCTCAGTCTTGCTCAATGGTTTTAATGTGATAGCCAGCCAGAAGCAGAAAGTAAAATGTTTCGTAACGAGAACAGCATTCAAACACACTTAAAATGAAACTGACACCCTTGTTGCACCAGTGTGTGTCCACAAGTTTCATGTTGGTCTTGTAAGTACTACCTGGAGAGAGCACTCTAACCACCTATAAATCACATATACATTGAGAACAGCTGAAGTAACAGTTCTCTAGTTACATTCAGTTACAAGTTAATTGCAAGTCATGGCTAAAACCAAAGAGCTTACCGAGGACCTCCGATTGGGTATTGTAGCTGGTCACAAGACAGGGAAAGGCTATAAAGCCATATGCAATGAAACTAAACATAAACAAAAACACAATGCTAATGGCAGTGTTTTGGTTTTGTATTGTTATTAAAAAATGTATACTGTGCAAATAACACTATACACTTGTAACATGCATGTTGCCGTATTTGCTCTGTGGTAAATTTGCTTTCCAAATCTTCTGAAATTGCAGAGTACACTATCTGCTTCAAAATTAACTAATTTGAAAGCCTTGCTTTTAGTCTTTCACACCCAAGTTGGAAATCACTGCAACCAATTCTATTTGTTATAGCGTACCGAGCATCTGGTCCGTATTCTCAATTCTTATCTGAAAATGCAGAGTTTTCGTCAACTTTAGTCCTTAAAATGGACAAAGTTATTATTGTAGTGGATATTAATATTCATGTGGATGTTGAGAATGACAGCTTTAGTACTGCGTTTATCTCTCTGAGAGAAGCCAATTGAATCTAACAATAATAATAATAATAATAATAGTGTTCCCACAGAATCCCTTTTTATCTGACCACTGTTTGATAACTTTTGAGTTTGTATTACTGAACTACACGCCATTGGGCAAAAATGTCTATACAAGATGTCTGTCTGATGAGTGCTGTAGCAAAATTTAAGGATGCGATTCCATGAGCTCTAAATTCATTATCAAGTCACAAAGTAATGGAGGATGCTAATTTCAGTCCCTCCCAAATCAATCATCTTGTTGATAGTGCTCGATGCGAATGACACTCGACTCTGTAGCCCCTCTAAAAAAGAAAATAACAAAACAAAGACGGTTAGCTCCATGGTATAATACTGAATCTCGCAAATTAAAGCAAATATTGTGGAAACTTGAGAGAAATTGGCGTTCCACCAAACTGGAAAATTCTCGTTTACTTTGGCAAGATAGTCTTAAAACTTATAGGAAGGCCCTCCTTAATGCCAGAGCAGCGTACTACTCGTCATTAATAGAGGAAAATAGGAACGACCCCAGGTTTCTTTTCAGCACTGTAGCCAGGCTGACAGTCACAGCTCTATTGAGCCAAGTATTCCCATAGCTCTCAGTAGTTACGACTTCATGAGCTTTAATGATAAAATTTTAACTATTAGAAACAGAATTCGCCAAGACCTGCCCTCAACTGGCACCGACTTATCTCCAAACTCAGGAACCTCAGAAACAGCTGTAAAACCAGATATATGTTTAGACTGCTTTTCTTCCCTCAATCTTTACCAACTAACTTCAGTAATTTGTTCATCTAAACCATCAACTTGCCTCTTACAACCCATCCTGACTAAGCTGCTTTTTTAAGACGTTTTACCCTTAGTCAGCACTTCTCTACTAGGTATGATCAATCTATCTTTATCAACAGGCTATGTACCACAGTACTTTAAAGTTCATCATAGCACAGGACTTGTCTCTGTACTGGTTTTATTAGATCTTAGTGCTAGAGTCTCCAAAAGTAGACTAGGAGCCAGAGCGTTCAGCTATCAAGCTCCTCTCCTGTGGAACCAGGTTCCAGTTTGGGTTCAGCAGGCAGACACCATCTCCACATTTAAGAGTAGGCTTAAGACTTTCCTCTTTGATAAAGCTTATAGTTAGGGCTGGCTCAGGTGAGTCCTGAACCATCCCTTAGTTATGCTGATATAGGTCTAGACTGCTGGGGGATTTCCCATGATGCACTGAGCTCCTCTCTCCTCTACTTTCTCTCCCTCTGTATGCAACCTCATCCCATTAATGCACGTTACTAACTCGACTTCTTCCCTTTCCCGTAGTCTGGATCTGTGGCTATCGTTATCATTGTTATTAAAATCATTAACATTACGATTATTGTCATTTACACTACTATAAATAGCTGTACCATTTTTCATTCAGTCTATAGCAACATCACCTTTGCTTACTTCTGTCTGTATATTGTGTAGGCTGCCTCCCTCTCCTCTCTCTGTCCTTCCATCCTTCTCTCTCTCTCTCACTGTCTCTCTCTCCTTCATCCCCAACCGGTCGAGGCAGATGGCCGCCCACCCTGAGCCATGGTTTTGCTCGAGGTTTCTGCTTCTTAAAAGGAAGTTTTTCCTTGCCTCTGTCACCTAGTGCTTGCTCTTGGTGGGAATTGTTGGGTTTCTGTAAGTATCATCACATAGTACAGATAACTGTTGTTATGATTTGATGCTATATAAATAAAATAAAATTGAATTGAATGTTTACACCGGCACGCGCATTCCCAGTGTACATGAACGGCCACTAGATGGGTGTTTTCAATAGTTTCAATACAGACGGGGATCACTTCTAATATACAGCTAAAACGGTGGTGTGGACAAAGAAGATTGTTTGTGTTTTCAAACACAAACGTAGTAATGTGGATGTAGTCTAACTCTCCAGTCAGTTCAGATCCACCCTCTCACTCCTGCCTGCTGTAACCCCTTTCCCACCATTCCCATCACATATCTGCCCACCTGGTTTAGTTTTCTGCCTGTTTTGTGACCATGAACTTTAACCTATCCTGCTTTTCTCTGAGTCGTGCATCTGGGTTCAAACCTGTTCCTCTACTGAGCCATTACGGCACTGATGAGACACGTAGAACATTTACAGAACATCTTGTTTGTCGTGGATTTACAGTGATTCAAATCCCATCTCGCTCTGTAGTTATGAAAAAAGAGCTGCAATAGAACATCTCATCAAAACCTCAAAAAGAATGCCAAAATTAATTTTTCCTAAAATATAAAAAAATTTGGAAGGCTATGATTTGGGTCGTGTTTTTTTAAATCCACTGAAATTAAACCAGACAGATCAGTCTGATGAAATGTAATGATGTCATTTAAGAAATTAATCGCTCTATAATATGTTTACTGAACTGGTTTAATTATCTCTAATCTGTGTTTGTACAGGAACTGCATTCACAGACACAGAGTGCTCTGACTGCAGCAGTGGAACATTTTCAGATGGGACATTTACGTCCTGTCAGCCGCACACACAGTAAGAGAAGCTTCACATCGGACATCTGAACTCACTGTACTCTGTGTTGACATTTTTACATGCAGTAAAGTCAGGTTGAACTACTTGTATCACAAATGTATCATAGCAACCAAAGCAGACGGAAAAAACGCTGTGCCTCAAAATGCTAGCGCCCGCTAGCGCTCCCTGCGTTTTCTGGCAAAAAACGCTTTGGGGACACGAGCCCTTCCTTTTAACACTATGTCATTTTAAGAAGTAATCATGTATCAGCTGGATTTATACTGTATTTTTTCTTATTGCCAAGTACCTCAGTACTTAAATAAAACAATTCTCTCCACACTTTTAACTGTTTAGACTGTTATGTTTGCAGTGAGAGGAGGGAGGTGGTGGTTTTTCAGGTGTAACCGTAGTTAAAGGTGTCATTTGAAGAGTGTTGGGGGCAACACGTTACAAAGTATTACTGTAATAAGATTACTTTTGTCTGTAACGCAGTAATGTAACCCGTTACTGTTGATAACTTCAGTAATCACATTACAGTTACTAATAACAAAATAATAACTTTACTTGCGAAGTGGTTCTTGAACTATCTGCATAACGGGAGGAGAGAAAAATAAATCAAACGTCCCTTTTCGTGCGCGTTTGTGTAACACTTTTCCGACCTAACTTTTGTCTTTAGCGCCAGTTCACAAGGACGCAGAAATGGCAGAGAAGGGTGGAGGTATTACTTCATGTTGTTTCGTGAAAGGACTGTGATACCCTCTAGTGCACCTGTGTTGAGGCTCTTCAGCCTGTGAGGATGCGTTACTTGTGCTGACTCTGAGGAGGAACAGGTTTTCTGACGATTGAGAGTCCTGCTCATGAGGTATAACCACTCTTTCAAAAGCATGTCCAGTAAGAGAGAAAATCTACTTTAAAGCCATAGTTCAGCTAGTGAGCTACAGTAAGTTTGTTGTGTGGGTTTGGTCTGTTAAATGCACAGTTCAAAGTACATTTCATATGATATGTTTTTCCTTTGAAGTCTCAGCATAATCTGATATTTTGATGAGGGCCAGTGTCTTATTTTTTATTGATATTATTTTCAACAAATTAATATTTGCACTAGATGGTTGGAAGGACAACCTATTTTAAGTTATGTAAGTATTGTAAGTACTATAGTACTGTACTCTAGCCTTGTTCTTTTTTGAGTAACTACCCAACACTGCATTTGAATCATGCACTGCAAAAATCCTACACATTTTCTTCACCGTTTTCACAGCACCACAGTTCACTGCACTTCTTAGAAGAAGCTCTCATTTCTAAAGAGGTGAGTCTGATGAAACTTTACTATTGTGCCTGTTATTGTACTGAGTATTGATCCAGTTTGAAACATTCAAATGTAAGGCCACATTAAAGCTGTACAATGTTCTGCAAACAAGCTACTACAGTAAGCAACAGGAAATGTGTCTAACATGAAGAGCTGAAGCCTCAGAAATTATGCTGAGTGTGTTTCATTCAGAAACAAAATACCAACAGAGCCTTAAAGCTTTGTATAATCCTTCTCCTCATACCTCACCAACAAAACTGAGGTTTGAGCTGAATGAGCTCTGTCTGATGTTGCAGCCCTACTGGCAGGATAATGTTGTTTTAGATTGTCTTTATTGAACAGTCAGTGTAGAGAGACAGGAAACACGGGTAGAGAGACGGCATGACATGCAACAAAGGAAGAGATAAAGATTGTGGTCATGGTTAAAAAAGGCTGAAACAGAAAAGGTAAGGGAAAGGTAAATAGGTCATATGCAACAAATGTATCTCTAATCTGAGTCTGAAGGTTCACTGAGCGGCTTCTCAGTACCAGTAAATTACCAATGTTGTTGAGGAGGAGAAGGAGGAGAGAATCTGCCACTCTTTCTCCAAGACTGAGAAATGAAATGTTTAATTTTAATTTTAAAATACGTTTTTAATTAGATCCTCACTCAGAGCTTGGTGTTTGGTAGCACCTCTAGTCCCCAGCTATTGTAAATTGTAAATTTCTACTTTGTATAGAGACAGGACCAAGGCATTTTTTTACAGGTCACAAGTAAGTCTCAAGCGCTCAAGTCCCAAGTCAAGACCAGTTGAAACAGGCAAGTCTCAGTCAAGACTGACAAGTTACAAGTCAATTCTCAAGTCCTAAACTTTGAGTCCTAAAAATAATGTGCTCTTCATCAAACATAATACCATTTCTTATTTTTAACAAGAGTTAAACATTTGAAAAAATAATGACTTAGGAAACATTCATTTATTGAACTTTAAAAATGTAATGCTTAGTTTTAATATTATTATTATTATATATGCATTATGCCAAATTCCCAAATAGCCCATTAAACTAGCATCTCAAGCTCAAGAGGATAACGGCAAGCATTTCCCCAGGTTGACTGCTTCTGGGGCAATTGGCCACTGAAGGGTGTGTGTGTGTGTGTGTGTGTGTGTGTGTGTGTGTGTGTGTGTGTGTGTGTCATGGGAAAGTTGATCTACAGGAGAAACATCTGAAAGCAACACAGAATGACTAAGAGCCGCAGGTCTTCAAAGAGCTGAGAGGAGAGAGAGAGAGAGACAGAGAACTTCCGGGCTTATCCGCGACTTCTGAATTGTCCCTGGCAAAATTGTAATCAATACATTTAATTATAAATGTTGTCAGTCAGTGTCTCGTCAGTGTATAGCAAGTTAACAGTCGCTGCAAAGTAGTGAGAGAATATCATGACACTTGACCGCGACGCAGACACCTGTCCTCTGTGTCCTGCTGTCTCTCTCCCACTCGCTCAGAGACACTTTGCCCTGTTTGACTGTCTCTCTGCTCCAGGATGCTTCATTCCCTCTAAAGCGGATGTGATCTGCACTTCAAAAGTGCTGAAGTGAACATTAGTGTGGAATTGTGGTGATATTTCTGTCTGATCACAAGTGTTTTCACTTTCGGTTTTCTTCCTGATGAACAGCAGTGCGCTCATCTCATCGAGTAGGCCACAAGTCAGATTATTTATATTGGCTTAACGGTTCTTTAAAAAATGGGCCAACGATCGGGCTGACATTGGGCTGGCCCAATCACATCTCTTACAGCACCTACTCCCTCCCCCTCTGCTGGAGCTGTTTCTTCAAATGCGTGAAAATAACCAATAGATAGATATAAACTTTAAAAAAAAATAAGCTACTGATTACTGCATTACATTCTGTTATATTTTTATATTCTGAATTATCACCTGCCACCTAAATTTGTCCTTCCCTTTATAAAAATAAAGACATTTCCATCATAAATTGGTGCAGAAAATGTCTCCAGAATTCAGGAAAATTAAGTGTTTAATGCTTAAAATCGTCTGGGGGAGGATCCCCAGACCCCGCTATTGAATACTTTGGCTATAAATAATTCTTCATTGAATTCACATTAACTAAGCTAATTTATCATTGAGGTGAAAAGGGGCCATATGCACATTTAAAAAGACATTAGGCTACTTCAGAAGGGATTAAATTAAATGAGAAAAGTTGATCTACAGGAGAAACATATCTGACAGCAATACAGAATGTCTGACAGTCTTACTGCATCATATTACAATATATTCTTCTTATTTTGAATTGTCACCTGAGACATTTCCTCAATAAATTGGTGAAGAGAAAATCACCAGAATGCAGAAAATTAAGTGTTTAAAGCCCAAATTATTCTGGGGGAGGAACCCCCTAATATTATCAATGTTAATTATTATAAGTAGTAATTAGTCCTAATAAATGTAGGCTACATATAGAATTTACTGTTGCTTTATAGATGTAGTTTGGGTAGGTGGGAAAGGGGGGTGGGGGGTTAAAACATGAAAGAGGTGTGTGCTGGGCTAGGCCCCCAATGTGTCAAGAGCCTGGAAACGCCCCTGTGTTCTATGATGTCAGACATTATGTTCCCACACCTCTTAAGTGTCAAAAATATGGACATGTAGCAGCTGTATGTAAGGGCAAACAAAGGTGTGCAGATGCGGTGGTGAACATGAGTACAGGAAATGCTTAAAAGGAGTTAAGCTAAAATGCTGTAACTGTGGAGGAGAACACAGCTCGGCCTTCAGGGGATGCGAGGCTAGTAAGAGAGCTGTAGAAATACAGAGAATGAAAACATCAGAAGGGATAACATACACTGAAGCAACCAAGAGAGTAGTTTGCAACCAGACAGACCAAACAGTAAACAAGTTAGTGCAAAATGTAAAAAGTCAAGAACTTGTGAGGGATGTGACAAAATCAAGGAAGACACTATGATGGTGGGGAAAAATGAGTTTGTTTTGTTTATGGTTGATGTGGTAAATTGTTCTGCGCAAACAGAGAAGAAAACAGAAAAATAAAATCAAAATAATACTTAAAGCAGTAGAAAAGTACTTAGGAATCAAGGGGTTAGTGTGGGAGGAGGTTGAGGAACAATTAAGTGGAGGAACAGCAAGCTCACAAGCACTATCATGAGGTGGTGGATCTTCATGATCCTAACTATACTGCAATGGAATGCAAGAAGTCTAATTGCTTATGGACAGGAATTTTATTTCAAACCTTCAAGATAAACCCAATATTATATGCATATAGGAAACATGGCTAAAACCACAATGGGACTTTGTAATTCAGGGTTACACAGCAATTAGGAATGATAGGGTGAATGGAAAAGGTGGTAGCGTAGCAACGTTTGTGCTAAATGGGACAAGGTTTAGTTTAATGAGTATAGGAAAAGAGCATGAAGCAATAGTAGTCAAAAGCTGGACAGGAAGAGCTGAACTAACAATAATTAATTACTAAAACCCTAGCAAAAGATTAAACATAGACACATTGAACACTGTGGGTTGGCAAACACGGGATAAAGTGGTTTGGTGCGGTGATTTTAATGCAGATAGTACACTGTGGGGAAGTAAAAAGTATAATGGATTAATCATAGAGGAATTAATAGTGGATAAGGGATTAGTTTGCATGAATGATGGAAGTGGCACCAGATATAACAGTGTTCAAAATACAGAAAGAGCAATTGACTTAATTAACCATTAGTATCGCAGGGAGTAGCAGGCATTACCACATGGGAGGTGTTAAATACATCATCAGGAGGTAGTGATCACTACCCTATAATAGTTAAAATCGGAGTAGAGATACATCATGAGGAAAACTCAAGAATATAAAGATGGAAATTAGATGGAGAAGATTGGGACACATTTAAAAAATGATGTAAAGATAAGTGTGAGAGTTTAAGATGATTGAAGATTTATCAGATGTGGACCAATTTAATAAAAAGTTGGTGGGAGTCATTATAAATGCAGCAGAGGAAACGATACCAAGAAGTACAGGAAGCAGAGTGAAAAAGAATGTGCCATGGTGGGATGTAAATTGTAGCAAAGCTATTAAAAGAAGAAACAAGGCATTTAGGTAGTTAAAAAAACATTAGAGACATTAATTAATTATAAAAGATCACAGGCATACTGGAGGGATTACTGCAATAAGATTGGAAGAGAGACATCACTGGCTGATATATGGGGAATGGTTAGAAAAATGAGTGGAATCAGAAGGAGCTATATAATGCCAGTCTTAATAAGTGGCAATAAAACAGCAGTAGTCAGTAATGTGGATAATCATCTCCAGGGTAGGACAACATCTGTTACAGCATGTTAGCTCGGTTGGAGGATAGTGCACTTAGTGTAGTTTTAAGATTATTTAAACAGATTTGGGAAACAGGCAAAATACCAATAGCATGGAAACAATCAATCATAGTACCAATAGTAAAACCTGGGAAAGATACATCAGACCCATCAAGTTATAGACCAATAGCACTCACGTCACAGTTAGGGAAAACCATGGAGCATATGATAACAGACAGATTAACATTCTTTCTAGAAAGCAGAGATTTGTACTCACCATAACAAAGTGAGGAAAGGAAGAAATACAATGGACTCTATTTTATGTTTGGAATCTGAAATCAAAAAAGCATACAATATGTTATGGAAGGAAGGGTTACTTATTAAATTTAACAAATTAGATGTAGGTGGTAGACTGTACAACTGGGTGTTGGACTTCTTATTTGGCAGGGCAATAGAGGTCAGGGTGGGCACAGAATATTCAAGACTCTATAAAGTTGAAAATGGTACTCCACAAGGCAGTGTGTGTAGTCCAGTACTATTTAACATCATGATCAATGATATTTTTGAAAAAGTGGAAAGAAGTATTGGGAAGTCCTTGTATGCAGACGATGGGGCCCTATGGGTAAGAAGATGGAATTTAAAATTTATTCAGAAAACATTACAGGCAGCAATTATAGAGGTGGAATGGTGGGCAAATAATGGGTGCAAAGACACAAGTGATATGTTTTTCCAGGAGACATAAAGAAGTGTCCTTAAAATTATATGATCAAACCCTCGAACAAGTAAAAGTTGTCAGACTGTTAGGAGTGTTGTTTGATGAAAAGTGGACCTGGAAACAGGACACTGATAAGGTCAAAGACAAAGGCAAAAAAAATTAATAACCTTTTAATACGTCTGTCAGGAAGGGACTGGGGGGCTACTACAACATCATTGCTTAAAATATATCAGACCTTGATGAGAGCTACACTAGATTATGGATGTATAGCATATACTGTATGTCAGCAGCAGAATGGCATCTTAAAAAACTAGATGTGGAACAGGCACAAGCTTTAAGGACATGCAGTGGAGCATTTAAGACCTCTCCAGTGGCTGCCATGCAAGTAGAAATGGGAGAACAGTCACTAAGGACATGAAGAACAAGAATTATGCTAACATACTGGCTTAATCTTCAGGGACACTGTAGCTCTCAACCCGCTAAAACCATCCTAGAAGAATGTTGGGAACACAATAAGAGTAGCTGTGTCAGTTTTGGATGGGTGGGAAATGCGAAAGCAGAGAGCCTTGGCCTGTGCGGTATAAAATATATCCCAGCAGTCCCATATCCAGTCCAGTTTTTGTAAATCCATCCATTGACCTGCATATTTAGCAAATAATCAAAAGGAAATCCAAGCAAGCACACACAGGAAGAATAGCAGAAAGTTACATAGAGCAGCACTATAGAGATAACCGCATGGTCTTTACTGATGATATCCAGAGACCGGAAGGACAGGAGCTGCAATTTACATCCCTGCACACAAAATAGGCATTAAATAGAGAACAGATCATCTATCAGTATATACAGTTGAGCTTATGGTCATTCTGATGGCATTGCAGTGGGTAGAAGAAAACAAGGAAGGCAAAGTGGTCATTGCATCAGATAGCTGGGCAGCGCTCCTGTAGGCTAGATCTGGTATTTAGTATTCATAGCTCTCTGTGTAGATTATATCATAAGGGACTGATTGTCTGCTTTGTTTGGGTTCCTGCCCATGTAGGGGTAGAGGGAAATGAAGATGCTGATATTCTGTCAAAACATGCACTTAAATCAAAGTCAGTTGACAAGTTCTGCTAAGTAAATCTGAAGGTTAAACAGTCATTAAAGAGAAAATGCAAAAAATATGGCAAGAATACTGGGAACTAAATGAAACTGGAAGACATCTTTACAGTATACAGAAACATGTTGGTCTGGGAAGAAAACTGGGTGGGTGCCGGAAGACAGAGACCGTCATTACCCGTCTAAGGATAGGACACACAGGGCTTAACCATTCTCTTTATAAAATAAGTAAACACCCAACTGGACACTGTGTAAAATGTAATAGCATAGAGACCATTCAACGTGTGCTGGTTGAGTGTAGAGGATATGTAGAGGAAAGCATGGGGAATATCTAAGCACCTTATTAAATATCTAAAAGATACAGGATTAATAGAAAGGATATAGATTTTATTTTTTTGTTTGTTTTGTTTTATTTGTTGATTTGTTTTTAAATATGTTAGTCTGCACATAATCTGTTCCACATTCCAGTCCGGTAGGTGGCGGTAATGCTCCTAAATGCTGGTTGCCAACCGCCAATCAAATCAAACGAAGAAGAAGAAAAATAAACTAAAATCATTAAACTGCGTCAGCACAAACAGGTGAGTCGAGCTGGTTGAGATATATTTCGATTAAAGAGGGAAACGTAGTCCACGTATAACATATTGTCTTACCGCTGAAACTCTTGAGTCCAGGTTCTGTGTGGTTCGAATGTTTCCAGCTGTTATTTCAGAATTTTGAAATGTGCTGCGACACGATGTTACCGTAATGCCTAGAAAAAACACGCATCGCAAAACAGCGCGAGGGCTGGCTTGACTGTCGTTTTCGAAGTGGAGGTTGGCTTGACTTCAGTTTTCCATTGCCTCCCAAGTTACCAGAAAAATAAATTATTGCAGGTTTAAGTACAGAAGTATTATCAGCAAAATACCTGAAGTCTAAAAGGTTAAAATACTGAATCTGCAGAAAAATGGTCCTGATGACATCATTGTTAATACATAAGCAGAATTGTACTGTTGAGGTTTAGCTAGTTTTAAGTATTTTATATACCGTTTGATAGTTTAGTCTGGTGTTTACAAACCTGGGATTCAGGTCCCTCCAAAGGGTCACAAGATAAATCTGGGGGGTCGTGAGATGATTATTGGGACAGGAAATTAAATCCTGATCCAAAGTAAATCAGTTATAAGGTGAGTGACCAGTCAATAAACAGATTCCCAGTGAAGGTAAAAGACTTCCAGGGTCCACCTGTGGTTCCTCATCTGGAGCTCATGTGTGGACAGTTTGAAGCTAAAAACAGGTTTCTCCAGCACAAATGTGTCTGTGTTAACCAGGTTTCTCGTTTAAAAGATGTTTCAGACATCTGCTCACTGCAGAAAGCTCAAAAGAAACTGTTTGCTTGGCTGTTAGTGTAATCTCTGCATGGATGTGTTCTTTTTGTTTCAGATGATGTCCCTGTTCTGCATTTTACTCTCACTTCATTCCAAATCTCAGTGAGATGCCTTCTTCAGCCCACGAAAACTCTGATCCTGCGGTACAGAATGATGTTTAGCAGAAAACCTGTGACAGCTGCAGCATTACTGGTAAAATAATTTGTTATGAAAGCAAGTTTTTATTTGCTTGACAGAAATTCATGCATCAAATCGCTCCTCTCCAACATTTCATTCTTTGTAAAACCTTTGTCTTTATAATGCTCTCCCTCACACATCAACAAACATTTCACTGTCGAGAAAGAAAATAGAAAAAGCAAACTGAAACTTTGAAGGTTTTCTGTCCATCAGCTCTGCAGAGTGATAAGCTGTGCTCTGCCTTTAACCTCTGAACAAGAAGAGAGTGGAGCTGTTTAATAGGAAACCCTGTATTGGCAAATGTCTTGTGTCCTCGCTTTGCACGTTTAACAACTGATCAGATTAGATGCAGTAACCTAACCTCCATAATTTAAAGCTCCTTAAATTAATTGTCTTTCCATATTAACTTACTTATTAAGTCTACATGTGTTAAAGTAGACTTTAACACAGTCACGCGCTACTATGGCTGTGCTGTGCGCCCAGACGCAGCAATCTAAAGTACCATCCTGTGATGGATTTACAGACGCAATGTGTCACCTAGACTATTGTATTTATAAGTACAGAAATCAAAGAGAAAGTTATAAAGAGCATGGCCAGTGCTGTCATTGTCAAAATCCTGAAACTTCACTACAGACAGCTGAGTGCAGGGGAGGAGTCCACTGCTGAAATGATGCTGACTATTTCGGGCATTTCAGTACAATAACCTCCCGATTCGTGGCAACCACATTCCTCTTTGACAGAGAGGCAAGACGTTATGGTGAATAAGAAAGAAAAGCACCAAATGTAAAAGCACTTGTTCTCACCTATTTGAATGGGGACCTGACAGCCTTGCATTGAGCAAAATCTTTGACAATGTCTTCAGTAAAAAAATTAAATACAATCTTATTTGGGAGCTTTCCGACCTTCTCCTCCTGTTCAGAAGGAGCTTTATTGCCAAGTAGTGTTTTACACTACTGTGGCAACTGTGGCTCAGGAGTAGAGCTCCTAGTAGAGGGTTGCCTGTTAATCGGAAGGTCGGCAGTTCAATCTCCGGCTCCTCCAGGCTGCATGTTGAAGTGTCCTTGGGCAAGATACTGAACCCCCACCAGTGATTGAATTGGAAATGCAGATGTCGTGTAAAAGTGCTTTGATAAGGTCTATACAGACATAGAGTTGACATAAATAAATGTAGAAAATATATAAATATGGAATAGACAAAAAAAAAAACATATATATATATATAAAACGAATAGAGAAAAATAATACAACTATTTGCAGAGAAAGAACAACGTCGCAGATTTTTACATGTGAATTATTCCGGGTTTGTGTTGTGCAGACGTATTGCAATGGAAAAGAGTATTGTGTACATATATATACATTGACAAAGATTAACAATTAACAACAAATATGTGCAATGTGCCAGGTTTGTGCATGTATTATTTGCAAGGGGGGAGTGTCTGTGGGGGCTGCAGACGGGAAGAAACTGTTTTTGTGGCGAGATGTTTTAGTCCTGATGGACCGCAGCCTCTTGCAAGAGGGGAGAGTCTGAAACAGTTTGTGTTCAGGGTGGGAGGGGTCAGCTGCAATCTTTGGGGATGACTGGGGAGTCACACTGGAGGGAGTATCGGTTCACCCACTTTCACCCAGCTAAAGTCTTGTTGTCTTGTCACATGATCAAATAGAAACTTAGGATTGGGCAGCCATACACAAATTACCCAGCAGTCATCATTGCAAATGTAGGTGACACAAATCCCAAAGAAAATAACCATATTCATTCTGTGGAATCTAATTTATTTATACTTTGCTTGCTACAGATGTTTTTGGGTAAACTACTGACTGACACCACGGCAAAGGGGGATGTGCACATTTGAGGGTGTATATACCACTTGATCTTCGGTGAGCTGTGTGTCTACTATTAGTTGGTGAATTTAGATGCATTCTTACCAAGTAACTGACAAAGTCCAGCTTGTAACCTGGCGTGGCCCGCTCCCGTCATGGGCACCTGTACAGTGCGGGCCCCGATGCAGCTGCACTGTCTGCAATGTACCCTTACTAATCTCCCTCCACCTTAACATATGCAGACTCACCTGGCGACATCTTAAACTGTATGTTATGTTTTATTGCGTGTGTAATTTCTGTTTTATTGTTGTATTGTTAACCTGTAAAGCACATTGGTTGTTTTAAGTGTGCCATATAAATAAAATTGATATTAATATTGATATTGATCTTGGCAACGCCTCCGGGCAGCTATTTCGGACTAGCAAGACCAAGCTCCTATCTGAAAGAATGGGGAGAGGGCCAGAACTGCAGTCTTACTGGTCTCCGGGACATAAAAACTACATGAAAAGAATCAGCAGTAAAATCTGATAAAAATCACTGAAAGTTTGACGACTTTGCCCCAAAATAAGGTTTAAAAAGCATTTTCCCGACCGGTTATACTTCTAATGCCACACATGCACAGTAGAAGTAAAACAGACCCTTACGTCAGTGGAACCACCCGATTGGCTGAAATACAGTATGTTTCCTGCTTTGGCTGTTAAAAGCAGACGATTGGCTTTCTCACGGGAGGGGCGGGAAAACCGCCATCTTTGCCATTATGGGCTTTCCCCATTTCCCCAGAGTTATATTGAGTATGTGATTGACTGGCGTGCCTCCTCTATAAAATGTCTCTGACAGCTCTGAGTTTGACAGGAATGTAAGATTGCAACTCTCTGCATTTTATGTGCTGGTCCACATGATGACTTCCCTCTTATGACTCCAATGTCAAATGCAGAAATGTGACCTCTCTCACGTGACTTTCTGCTGTAACTCAACTGCAAAGGTTAAATGCTGAGAACTCTTAATGTTATAGTAAAATTATAGTAAATTTTATTTAGTGTCTTTTGGACCTCTAACTATCTGGCTGACTGAAACAGATCTACACAAACACAAAGTTCTGCTGGTTTCTATCAGTTCAGTTCAACAGCTTCTATCCATGTATTTGATTTACAACCAGGCTTCACTGAGATAAAAACCTTTTTCTTTCACTTCACAGATACTCGTGATGAATGTCTGCAGAGGAAATGGCCTCACATGTCATCGAGGAGAGTATCAGAGAGGGAATGAATGCTGTCCTGTGTGTCCTGCTGGTAAGATCCAACTGAATGTTAGAGAGAGATTTCACACCATCAGCTTTACCCTCCAAGATTGAACTTTCTCATTTAATAGAAACATTACATTGCATTAAATTAAATTGTTGTTTTCTTTTCAACAGGAAGTCGAGTTAAAACGCATTGTACAGAATTCACAATAACTTCCTGTTTGCCCTGCACTGAGGGAACCTTCATGAGTCAGCCGACTGGACGTAGACAATGTTTTCTTTGTTCAACTTGTGTTGAAAGTAGGTTTCTGTGAATATTTCTTCATCAGTAGAAACTTAGAGCCTGGAGTTAAAGGCAGTACGTCTTATTACTGCAAGTTCCACTGTTAATACTGTGGAACAACTGAGGAAACTGTTTTAACAATGTCATTGTGTAGAAGCAGAAAGTCTTTTTAATGAGTTTACTGTACATTACTGATTTTGCTCTTAAAGTGCCACAATACATGCAGAAACAAAGACCTTGTGTGTTGTGAAATACTCTGAAATACTGAGTGAAGATATTTTGTCACAAGTAAGCCACAAGACATTCAACATGATTTCTTTTGCAGTGGAATTATTACGCTGTTAACATCAGCACAGCCTTTGCTGTATTTTCCTTAATGTTTAAGCCTGAAATTAAAAGTGTAGTATCTCCATATGTAACCTCTACATGTGCTGACAGGTTCTGGTTTGAAGATAAATACGTCATGTACAACAACATCAGATGCAGTTTGTGAACCACTGGAGGGATTCTACTGTCTGGAATCTACATGGAACGGCTGTATGACAGCACAGAGACACACAAGCTGTCAACCAGGACAATACATCAGAAAGAAAGGTTGGTTTCTTTCTGCTGACTTTAAGGCTGTAACTATAGTTTAAGTGTTTAAAATATAGCAGGAAGCGGCAACGATCGGGATCCAAGCAAGTCGCGAAAAACGCAACATTTGACATTTTCAGAGGAGAAGAACAGATGCAGACGACTTTAGAGATTCAAGTGATGAAAGAATTGGACTTGCAAACTTGATTTTTACAGCATCACTTGAGATCAGAGAGTGTATTATATGTACCTGACTACTGGGTGAAGTAGTCAGGTGGTAAAGTTTAAGTCATTTAAGACTTAAACTTAATCAGTTTAAGTTGAGTCATCCAGTCACCATGAAGGCAGCTTTCAGATGATCACAGATTGAGTAAAAGCACTGAAGCTGATTTGTTACAATGTGCAGCACATGTAAAGAAACACAAACATAATTTAAATAGTAATACAAAACCCCCTGTAAAATCAAGATACTATCATAGAGATACACTGGCTCTATTCCATATAAATTTAAATAGTCTGAAAATGGGATGGGAATAATCCACGTATGGTTCGTTCTTTGATTATTTCCTTTCAAAACCGAACAGAAAAAACAAGTTGTTTTTTGTTTTTTCTGTTTTGGAAACCATAAGAGAAATTACTGATTGTGATATTAATAATGTCAGACTAATTTAGCTTTGTGTGTTCACTTGATAAATCTGCAGCAGATACACTTGGGTGATGGCGGTGCCTAATTAAATGTAGCCTAATTAAGATGAGCTTGAACATCAACATAAGTGCGTTACAAGTTGCCAAAGAATCCTCAGATTTTGAAGATTTTTCAGTATCAAATTAATTCAGTGATAGTTGTCAGTACATCCAATGGTACACAGCAAACATGAACTGTTATTAGTTAATTGTCGAACTGTAAATTAAGAAATCATACACAGATTAAAATGTTTGGGTAATTTTCATTCATTATTTAAATTGCACACCATGCTGAGCTCATTTGTTGGTTGTTACCCAAAATGTTTATCAAGGGTTTTTTCTCAAGGACTACAGCCAGGGTGACTACAGGGGAGCCAGGGGGAGCTTGACCCTCTTAATGAGACATGAGCTCCCCTGAATACATGATTTATGCTATTTTTGCCATTAATTTCTATTTTTCTGTATCATCATGGATCATGCGTAAATCTGGAGGGACGGGCTTCATCCAGCCAGTCATATTGTTTGTGCTCCCGTGACCTCCTCTCCCTCGCCCTGGATGCTCCAGCATCCTGCTCCCTCTCCGGTAGACCTACTATGGGTTGCATTGCCTGTGGGCCCAGAAAACTGAGGACGGTCGGTGGTTGTTTATTCTGGCAGGATAAAGTCTGACGCTCCTGATTTTATGTATCATCTATGCACTACTGCTGCTGGAGGCTCTCTGTAATGCTGCACAACTTTCTAAATTCTTCCATCCCACGAAGAAAATAAAAGTCAGGTCTAAACAGTTTGGAGAGGCTGCGCGCTGTTCGGGGGTCCAGTAAAGTAATGGACACATTTAATATGTTTTATACTTTCTGTGAATATAATCCAATTAATCTTTTTCCATCCTGATAGACACCTTATTTTGAAAACCGGACGTTATCACACGCGTATCCTCGCGCTAAATTCATCAAGTCCGACCCAATTTGATAAATAATATTGTATGTGGTTCTCATATCACGTAACATGTAGACTTCACAGCCTCTCTTCAGGTAGGACTCTCATACTGCGACACTTGTCTTTATAAAGAGAGAAACTGACAGGATACAACTATCACTGAATTCATTTGATACTGAAGAAATCTTAAAAACCGAAGGATTCTCAGGCAACTTCTGAGGCGTTCCTCTTCCTGTCCTGTTTCCAGTGAGTTACAAAATGAACGTGTGCCTGCTGTTTTTCTAAAAAAACCCCACTTATTTTGATGTTCAGGCTCATCTTAATTACATTTAATCAGGCACCACCATCCCAAGTGTATCTGCTGCAGGTGTAGCAAGTGTAACACACAAAGCTATACTATTCTGACACATTAAATATCAGAATCAATATTTTCCATTTTGGTTTTAAGACAGAAAAAACAAAAAACAATTGTTTAGTTGGTTTTTCCGACTCGGATTTGAAACAAAATAATCAAAGAAACAAACATACATGGATTGATGGGTTTGTGTTGTTTTTCCAACATAAAAATTTTCCATTTGATTTGTAGGGTTAGGTCTACTTTTTCTTTTTTGTGGCGCTTCCAAATTGTTTTCATGAGATGCTTCTGCAGCAAATGGAGTTTGCTCAGTTGTCCTTTAATTTTTGTGTATCTGCTGATGCCAAGACCGACCCAAACTTATATTTACCTACAGGACATATTGTTTTACATGTGTGTAGGATACATTGAACAGCTTTAGCTTCTTAATCTGACACATGATTTAAAATAAAAATAACTTTAAGATTTACTGGGATAATGTAAACCCTAATAGTACATGGACCATAAGTTTAAGAGTAGACAAGCAGAAGAATTCTCTCAATGTCAGGAACAGTTTTTTTTTATTTTGGGGAAAAAAGTAGTTTTGCACTTTTTGTCGTTTTCATGCGCAGAGAAACTGATATTACATTGGCAAAAAAAGTGAAAGTTAAAAGTGGAATTTATGTAATTTCTTGACAGTTGTTAACTGACATCAACATATTAGCAGTGTTATATTTGATTTTATTGTACATTACATTATAGCACTAAAACTCTTGACATTTGAATAGTTCAAGTTTTCTCTCAAACAGGGGTCAGTTTGATTATGAGGCTGCCGAGGCTCCTTCTTTACAGTGAATCAAATCCCATCTTGCTCTGTAATTATGAATGATAAAAATGAAATGATTTAGAAAAGAGCTGCAATAGAACATCTCTTCAAAACCTCAAAGAGATGCCAAGATTATTTTGTGACATGTTAAATCCACTGAAATTAAATTATGTTTGATGAAATATAATAATGTCATATCAGCCTTTGATCGCTTCATAATATGTTTACTAAACTAGTTTCATTATCTCTAATCTGTGTTGTACAGGAACAGCATCACAGACACAAAGTGCTCTGACTGCAGCGTGGAACATTTTCAAATGGGACATTTAGTCCTGTCAGCCGCAACACACTAAGAGAAGCTTCACATCAGACATCTGAACTCTTCCAGCAGCAGTGAATTCATGGTTTCCTACAAATGTTGCTGTAAAAATGTCCCTCTATCATTCCAGATGTGAATCAATAAATCTGCAGCTGCTGAAAGCAGGAACTGCTTCAACTGATGCTGAATGTGGAGAACAAAGTTCAGACATGACAGGAGTTGTGATCGGTGGTTGTTGGGGGGATTCTTTGTTTATTAATATCTGGATCTGTAGCTATGGTACTTTCCAGAAAAAAATGGCGTTTTAGAAATGAATCCACTTTACTGGAACAATAGTTAACCTAAAGTCAACAACCAGCCGAACTGAAAACACTGCAGCCTCTCAGACCAGAGGATGCTCTATCATATAAGCTATGGATATAGGCTATTTAAAAATTATTTAAAAAAACAAAGCAGGTCCCTCCAGATTTTAACTAATCGCGTGTTCATAACAGCACCATGAGTATGATTTTTTTTTTAATGCCACTGTCAGAGATCAGAAAAATCAAGCAAGTGTCTCAAATTTTGAACTAACATTTTGCAAATGCATTTATAAGAGAAGCATTCAGTGCTTTTACAAAACACAAAACGTTGATTAACGCCACTCTCTCCTGCCGAGTGGTACTTCACTGGCAGAAACGTTAACTGCCGGAGTTTATTTCCACAGGCTCAAGTTTCACGTTGCTGTGCTTTAGCAGATGCTTCAATACAAAATGTTCACAGTTGAAAGCGTTTTACTGGTCGCACAAAGTTTACAACAGAAGACCATGTTCTTGCATCTCTGAGTGTGACACAGCTCGGCCTAATGGCAGAACGTTACTTACAGCTGTGGAAAGAACGCCTCTCTCCTTCTTTCTCCATTCTTCCTTTAGTTTTTTGGCTAGCAGCTGACTTGAACAACATAAGTTCTGGTTCCGCTGACCTGCAGTGCGGTTGCACATGATATATAACATGCGAAATTAAACAAGTTTATTACTGAGTCAACAAGAATTACAAACAATGCCTAATCTACCTTGATTACAGTTGTTTACTACAGTCTTCTGACGGCTACCAAAGCGCTTTGACCCCCTGGGCATGCGCATCCAGCAGTGTTTGTATACAAGATACCAGTCTGAGTCCATTTTACAGTAGGAAGTAGGAATGATTTTTTCTAAGTAATTAAATAACATCACTCATTTATCAAAATTTCACAAAACAGAAACATCTGAATGGAGGTGAATATCCTGCACACGGCGCTACAAGCTGAACATGTCTTCTATGGAAGTGCTGGTCTACAGTCTGGATCATTATTTCACACAGATGGTAGTGTACAGAGACTGAAGTCAGCCTGGAATAACAACTTGGATCAATCTTGAATTGTACTCAACTCTGTATCTCCACAATTTTCACTCTACATATGTATTTTTTTCACAAGTTGTAGGAAAACCTGTTCTGTCGCTCATGTCCAACTTTGAAAGAAATAGACTTTCACAGCTGGTACAGTTGGCTTGAGGGGAGAGGAGTCCCACTCAACTGCTGCATAGACTCCCATACTAAAAAAGTGCTTGCAGTTCAGGAAGGAGTCAGAAAGGTGGACATTCTATACTGCGGCTGTGAAGCCATTTTGACAGTAGACACACAAATCTTGGACATCATCTTCATGAGGATCTTATCTCTCTAACAATATGTTTACTTTGGCACTGAGAGTTACGGTCTGTTCAGTAGGACCAGGAGAGCGAGCTGTGCCAGGTTAAAACTCAATGAGATCAGCTGTATAAGCCTGTCTAAGTCCGATAGCTTTCAGCATCATTGTGGCAACCTTAGATTGCAGGCTCAGCACATAGCTGATTGAGATGATGTAATGCTGACAACTCAGTAAACATGGCACTAATCCTCCAGCACCTGGACTCTCCAGGAAACAACATCAGGATCTGTTTGTGGACTCTGCCTTCAACAACATTATTCCAGCTCTGCTGCAGGACAAGAGGAAAAGTCTTTATTACAATAACAAACTAAAAGCATTTGTCACTTATTTGTTTGTTAATGAACCAAATTAATTTGGCAAAATAGCAAATCAATAACATTATACTATGACTTTAGATATTTACGAAAAAGAAATATATTTTATGAAAAGATTGATATTCATTGTAAAAGAAAAGCTATTTGAACCTCTTTATCTTTTTTAAAAAACATTGGGCCGACATTCACAAATACAACATTTCCAAAGAAATCTAATATTTATATGAAGAATTAAAAAACTTTTTATTGAATGTCTTTGTTGCTTGTTAGGTGATCCCCTATGTATCTAGTTGGCCATGTTCTATAATTCTTTCATTTAATGTAGGCTATTTTTTTCGGATGAAGATTTTCGTAGAAATGATTCAATAAAAACAACAGCTGTATTGTCTATCAGACAAGAGCATTTTTATTAAACACAATACAGCATAACTTTGAGGTGTGTTGTTAACCTGTGAATGGTGATATGAAAGTAGTGGAAGTGGGATTTTCGGAATTTAAAAATCCTACATTTTATCCAGCAATGTCACAAGGAACTCACATTTGAAAGAAAGGTCTCCCATTGTGCAGCAAAGGGTGTTCACTTTCACAGCCAACATCGGTGCTCACTCTGCATTGGAGGTGTTTAACAACCCACTACCATTTGCCCTCATTGGTTTGGGATGGCACTCAATTGGTGGACCCTTCTGGATGAAGCGCAACAGGTGGAGGTAGGTAAGGAGAGGGAGTAGCACGCATTTTCGGAAAGGCCTATGTGATTTGATGGTGCCATTTGCAAAATGCAGGAGAAGAGAAAATAGCGAGGGCCGAAGAAGAGGAACAGGCCGACGTCTCAGAAGTTCTCTCTGTACAGTGTGTCTATAGTAAAACAAACAACAACATTATTCCAGCTCACTGTCCAGCAGCAAGCAGCACATGAAGATCGGAAAACATGTTTCTGACTCCAGGACCATCAGCACTGGT